AAAAAATCAAATAGCCCATTATTATAATTCTACTTCACTGGCTCTCTGTAATATAATTCCTTGCACACTGTTTGAAGCACTCCTATATATTCTTTACTTATATCAACTTTCCATTCAGTCTGTTGGGAAGTTGATCTACTGTATATGTTATTATTTTTCATCAGTTTGTCTTTTTGCAATACTTTTACATTCACTCTTAGTTTTTTCACTTCTTTCCTTTTCTTCTGTGCCCATTTTGTCGAGGCCTGTCCTTATGCACAGATATAGTATAGGTGGTACCTTGCTCAATAGTAGTAACTGTGAGAGGGATCTTGGAGTCCTAGTGGACAATCACTTAAATATGAGCCAGCAGTGTGCTGCAGTTGCCAAAAAAGCCAACACAGCGCTAAGCTGCATTGACAGAGAGATAGAATGAAGATCACATGAAGTATTAATACCACTTTACAATGCCTTGGAAAGGCCACACTTGGCATACTACATCCAGTTTTGGTCACCACAATGTAAAAAAGATGTTGAGACTCTAGAAAGAGTACAGAGAAGAGCAACAAAGATGATCAGGGGACTGGAGGCTAAAATATATAAGGAACGGTTGCTGGAATTGGGTATTTCTAGCTTAATGAAGAAAAGGACGAGGGGGGACATGAAAGCAACATTCCAATATCTCAGGGAGTGCCACAAAGAAGAGGGAGTCAAGCTATCCTCCAAAGCACCTGAAGGCAGGACAAGAAGCAATGGATGGAAACTAATCAAGGACAGAAGCAACCTAGAACTAAGGAGAAACTTCCTGACAGTTAGAACAATTAACCAGTGGAACAACCTGCCTCCAGAAATTGTGAATGCTCCAACACTGGAAGTTTTTAAGAAGAGACTGGACAGCCATTTGTCCGAAATGGTATAGGGTTTCCTGCCTGAGCAGGGGATTGGACTAGATGACCTCCAAGGTCCCTTCCAACTTTATCATCATCATCATCATCATCATCATCATCATCATCATCATCATCATGATCAGTAGTAGTAGCGGTAGTAGAAGTAGAAGTAGTAGTAATAGTATATAATTTCATCAAAAATGCATTGTCACCTCATTAACTGAATTTTCATCTAATTCTACCCTTAGCTTTCTGTGAAATATGGACCTATATTTACTGTCTGGAATGGATCAAAGCCAATGGTTGCTCTTTGTAGTTATGAAGTGATAAAAGATGCTTTGATAGATCATTCAGAAGAATTTGGTGGGCGAGCAGAAATGCCTGCACATAAGCGAATTTTCCAAAATAAAGGTTGATTCTCTTTCATTTCCTTATTAGTTATCATTTTTCTTTAATTTTCTGTACATAGTTTCAAATTATCTAAATGCCATTAATAATATTGATAATTGTGAAAGTTTCACTTAAAATGAAGTTTAGTAAAGATGTTGATTTGGTCATGCTTCTAGAAAAAGGAAGAAAATGTTCTTTATCATTCCCTTTCCACTTCTCAAGTCTGCTCAGGTTGTCACTTACATGCATAAACAACAACAACAACAATAATAATTAAAAAAACCACCCTTCTCGGAACTGCCTGTATACTCAGATGCTATCTTAATAATTCTTAGGTCCTTGGTTAGGACTTGAACTGTTAAGAAATCAATGGTTGTACCAATAGTAATAGGAGCCCTTGGAGCAATACCCAAAGGGTTGCCTAGATTCATGAACTTATCAGACCTGAATATTCTGACTTTGCAAAAAAACCCACCTTACCTGGAACTGTTTATATAATCAGACACCTTAACAGCTCTTAGGTCCTTGGTTAGTACTTGAACTGTTAAGTTTTTACCAGTCCCAGACTGTGAATCGAATTGAAGATTAAATCTTAAATAACAACAACAACAAAAATAATTTGACCTCTAAATTGGCCCTTTGGGAAAAACAAAATGGTTTACCAATGAAGACATTTTGTGGCTTATGTTATCTGGATTAATGCTGAATATCAATTTCATATACCTTCAAAATAACTTGGACTTTGAAGAAGCTGAGTAGAAAAAATGTTGATGCCTTTGAGCTTTGATGTTGGAGAAGATTCCTGAGAACATTCCAGGGAAGACTCTTGAGAATATTGTGGATACCCAATAAAACTTATCATTGAACAAATCAGTCCAGAATTTTCACTCAAAATACAAATGACCAGACTCAAATGATCATATTTCAGAAAGTTTGTGCAAAGCTCTCTCTAGCTCTCTAGAGAAAGTTGTAAGGGTGGGAAAGATGGTAGGAAGGAGACTTGATGGAATTAGTTACAATGATGACAAATATATCAAAGTCCTCAAGAAGTAGGTTGGAGACCTATTGTAATGGACAAAATCTATGTGGTTGCTTATAATTGACAGTGACTTGATGGTATATAATCAAGCAACCAAGTAAGAGAGCAATTGGAAGTGACTTTTTTGTGTGAACAAAACCTCTGCTGCATAAACTAACCAGAACTGAACCAATTGCAATTTTCTTCTGCGTACTGAAAATTGCATCTTAGTATAGAATTCTGTCCATGACTGATCTAGAATCTGTCCCTATCCCTTTAACACTTATAGTAACTTGTGACATGATTTCTACAATCTCATTCATTCTTCTCTTAATATGACAGCACTCAAGAACAGACAGATGAAAACTGTGCAGTTCATCTAATTAGTAATTCAAGCACAAAGGGTTGTTTACTTTAAAAGTGTAGTGGGAAAATTGTAATGTATAATTTTTGAGAACTGATATCACATTATGATCTGTTTCCTGTGTCTTTGGTTTCAGGTCTGACTAGTATTGAGAAGAAATGGAGGGAGCTGCGACGGTTCACACTGTCCACCTTGCGAGATTTTGGGATGGGGAAAAAAAGAATGTCTGCGAGGGTGCAGGAGGAAGCCCTTTGTCTGGTGGAGGAAATAGCTGCTACAAAGGGTAAAAAAAAAGAAAGAAAAAGCTGGAAAGGGTTTTTGTATTATGTGAGGTTACAGGAAAACTAGATTGTAAACTTAAACTCAAATCCTCTGCACATAATAAATGCACATAATAAAGAAAAACTTAGATAGGCAGTGAATGCTCCCCTCCCTTTTGTTTTCACAGTATTGTTCAGAAGCAAAGGGAAAAGTAACACAGCTGTTTCGCCCTCTTTTTTATCCAGTGTCAGCTTTTGGCTTGATGAAATTACAAGATTGTCAAGAAGTACTGAAATCTTACTGTAACTGCAGCAGTTGAGAGATCAGAAATACTAGGAAATTGTTTAATGGGGCAATTATGGCTTTATAAAGTTACAACTTTGTCCAAAAGAAGTGAAATGTTAGGCTGGATGCAGTAACACACATTAAGCAAATTCAGAAACGAACAAAAAACTTTATGGATTAAAGAGATAGGTAAACTAAGTGAGGCAAGAAACACATAGATAAGAACAGGCTGCATGAGGGACAGAGATCTGTAAGGCAACATGGATTTGAATTGAAGGGCCACAAATAGAATTTATTCAGGCAGTTATAGCAGTTTTGAAAGCCATCCTTGTGGCCACATTTCTTCTGGAAGGAGATACAAAAAGAAGCAGGAAAAAATGTATTGGGTTATTATTATTACTATTATTATTTAAAAAGGGGGTACATTAGAAGGAGAGAAGGGTGGAGGTAAAGAGTGCTTGGTCAAAACTGGAAAGAGAAGCAAAAATGTTTCTGAAAAATATCACTTAAACATAATGCTATATTAAACACCAGGCAAAATCAGCAGCTAGCAAAGGGCAAGGTAGATAGGTAATTTAAAGGCAGAAATGAAATCATGGATAACAATTTGGGAGTTAGGGAGTTTGCATGAGGGTGGAGAACTGAAAGTCCCTGTGGATTTGAATTAAGCGGTCATAAATAGTATTCCTTTAGTGAGTTGTGGTGCCTTTGAATATAATCTTTAATGGACAAACATCTGGAACGAGACGGCAAAAATAATGGAATGACTAGCAAGTGATATTATTTAAAGAAATATAAAAAGAAAACAGGGGAAAAAAGTTTAGAAGGAGGAAGGGAGGATGAGACAGGAGAATTCAGTGAAGAAAGCAGAACCTTCAAAGAGGTGAAGAAGGGAAGGGACAAGGTGGAAAAAATCAGCCATGAGCAGAAAAAGAAAAGGAAGGAGTGAGAAAACAATTCTAGATTGAAGGCAACCATACGTTTGTGAAGAAACTCTAGTGGTAACCAGGTCAATCTTTGAATATATATATATTAGTCAATTTCAAAATGGAACATGGAAATACTATGTTGTATCTTGATTAAAGTGGTTATAGGATTTTAATACTGTGTTTATATTCCATACTTAGGAAAGAGGGAAAAAATAATAATTCCAGTTTCTCTGAATCACTTTTTGTTCCAGTTTTGAGGTGAGATTTGTGGAAGAGAAGATCCACATTCACTGATCCCACTCATAAGAGTCTGTGGTCTTTTTTTGCAGGGCAGCCTTTTGACCCAAGAAGAATTTTTTCAAGTGCTGTTTCTAATGTGATCTGTGCAGTCGTCTTTGGCAATCGATTTGATTACAAAGATCGAACCTTCATAAAGAACCAGAAGATTGTGGAGTCTCAATTAAGACACTCTGTTAGTTTCTTAGGACTGGTATGTTAATCCACCTGATCCTCTTCTTGTCATGAACCCTCATTTTAACTAGTGGGTGCGTTTGTGGGTGCAAATCAGAAATGTAAAGATTAGACGTGATGAGCTACTAAGCAGCAGAAGCCAAATCTAGACATCCAGCGTGACTGAGCCATCTAAGCATAAATTGGTTCTCAGAAAATCTCTTCTGGCTGGGCTTATTTCCTAGGGAACCATTTCCTTCTCTTGTAACTCCTTTGGGCCATGTCAGATTCTGGACAGGTGCATTTCTTCTTATCATAGAATTGTTAGACAGTCCCCCTATCTTTATGCATACAGCCAGTTTCTGTCTTTGCCTCTTGGAGGACTTTGGCCATTTTCACCATTATCCATTTGTGGAACTGATGGGGAAGGCTAGGAAAGCATTGGGAGAATCCCTTGACAAAGTAGCTCCTACAAGGAAGTCAGTTTAGGTGAGGAGAGATCTGGGGAAAAGCTTTTCAAAGACACTCCTCTTCAATTAATTTATTATAGATATAAATTCCCAATACAGTTTCCAAGACACTGTATTTACCTGAGAGTAGAATTAAAGATAGTATACTGAAAACCTTGTGATTCCTGTCTTCTTAGGTTTGGATCCATCTGAGGATTGACACTTAGCAATATCAGAGTAAAAGCTACTCTCTGAATATTTAGAGCATTAATCCTTCACCATAATGGTCTAATACAGCGATTCTCAACCTATGGGTCGCGACCCCATTTGAGGTCGATCGACCATTTCACGGGGGTCGCCAAGCAAGGCTGTCTGCCATTTTTTTCCTCTTTTCCGGCGGGTGCCTTACCTCCCTTGAGCTGGGCCAGCTGGTGGTAGGCCTGCTCCGTCTCTGCCGCTTGCCAGCTACGCCTCGGCCAGCGCAGGGGGCGGAATCACGCATGCACAGCGCTCCCGGGCAGGGAAAGTCCTCGACTTACGACTGGTTGGGTAGTCCTCGACTTACGACCGGTTTAGTCCTCGACTTACGACCGGTTGGGGGTCGCGGCATTAAAAAAGTTGAGAACCACTGGTCTAATAAGATATAATATCTAATGTGAACTCTGTGACAGGTGTACAATACATTTCCAAAACTAGTGGAATACTTTCCTGGGCCTCACAAAGTCATTCTTGCTGAGCCTGATGATGTCTGTGAATATATCCGTGAGAAGGTGGAATTGCACAAAAAGACGTTGAATCCCCAGAACCCACATGGCTATATCGATTGCTTCCTTCTTAGAATGGAGAAGGTAGGCATACATGTCTGCATAATTGTCTACATAATATACATTTAAGATGGAACTAGTTGATCCTATATGAAGAAGTATGGAAATCTAAAGGTATCCTTACAATTCTGCAAATTAGGTCAAACAATAAAAAATGAACTCTGTTATCTTTAAGACAGCAGAATTCTTCAAAAAAATAGTATGCATAGAAATTTTCTTCCCATGCTGATTTAAATTTTAGATAGGTGATATAAGTACAGTTTTCTAGAATCATGTTGTAGAAGAAATTTCTATTAGAATTAATTTATCAGATGTAACAAGTAAGTTTCTATGGAACAGATTTAATTCTCTTTTCCAACCATATACCTTAGGAATTGCTTAGACCAATTACATTAGTCCAACAACATTAGTCAAAATCAGAGTATCCATTCTTTATTGCCAGCCAATTCTTGTGGTAAATATTTGATGGGCAGATCAAAGGGGCAAGCTGTTTCTTCCTCTGCATGAAATGGTGATCCCAGAAATAC